GCCTCCATCCCCATCCCTTGCTCATTGCCAGTGGGCAGAGCCCATTCGCGTTCGAAACCTCCGTCCTCCACATCCCATTGCTGCTGCCGGACCGAGGGAGAAGGCTGCGCGCTGAAAGGGGCTGGCACTTCAGACCCTGTGCAGAGTCCTCAGGACTCTGCGCGATGATGGGTTTTAATCCTGGCAGGGATCAGCCCCGTCAGCTAATCTGACCTGTATTTTATAGGCCAGAGAACTTTGTCAAGATTTCCAAAGAACAAACCAGGCAGCCGGCCGTGTGGAAATATGCGGGCAGGGAAAGCGGGAGCCAAGCTGCGAACAGCGAGTCGGTTTGTTGTAAAATCCAGCAGGTACCCGTGAGCCCCGCTGCGCACATCAGCGCTTTGTTTATCTGTTGGTTGCTGGCTGGAGGATTTCTGTTTGCAAACCAAGATCTTTAAGCAAGAATTAAAAGTGCGTATTGGTCTGCCATATATTAAAAGTGGGTTATTTTATTTGCATGCATTCAGAACACGTTGCCATGCTCACCACTAATACCAGCCACGCGTATAATATGGAGAGAGAAGGAAGCAAAAGAGCCATATGCTGCCGTGACCTTTTTTAGCTTTCTTCCAAATCTTATGTTTGCAGATGACAGGAACAAAAATAGACCATTTCTTCAAAAAAACACAAACAATGCCCAGGTAGTTGGATACTTATATTATACTGGCTCCTAAATTCTGTCAGAAGCTGCCTGTAGCATCCTAAAGCAACACCCTCCTCACGCTGCCCCCGCTTAGCTCATATGAATTTTACTCCCATGGTGTAAGTTTATCTTACAACAAACCGAAGACAAGGGTTTCATTTCCAAGCTTCATCAATCATTAAACCACACAAGACTGAAGAGTATTTTTAGAGATCACCAGAAAGATATCTATATTTATGACATGTCGTTCTTGAACGATCAACACGTTCTCATGCAATTGCAGTGGTAGGATTAGAGATGCAAGGTAAAATAAAAACAAAATTATCTGGGAAATTATTTATTTATCACTCAAGCATGATGCTAAACTAATCTCTCATTCTGTAAGTCATTGGAAATGTTCACAGATGCAACATAACCTTTCTGCTGATTTAAAAATGTCCCAAACAAGAGCTTAACTTTGCACCACTTTAGAAACATTGACGTTCATTAACCAGAGTTGGACAGCTTCCGACCAGACAAATATTTTGGAAAAATACCAGGATTACAGCTCGAAGAGTTCTACAGATCTATTTCTCCCTTCGAAATAATGCTGTTTGTCAGCAAGAGTATTTGGACTGTGTGTGCACCTGTATTTTTTCACTCCGCCCCTCATCTCAAGCCTTCAGGAAACTTTTCCAGAGGAGGACAGTTTTGACGGGGAAAGGGAACCAACTGAAAGAAAAGGTTTCTGCAACTCTGGCTTCCCACGTTACAGTGTTTGGAGACAGAAACCTTCTGAACAGTTCTAAGACATATGCCTAGAGACTTAATTTAAATTATGTAGTAAGACTGAACATGCATAAAAATTCAATACGTCTGTACATGATAATTACATACTTCCTTGATACATATAAATAAATTATCTATTTTATTACAGAACTGCTGAGCAGATTATTTTAAATCTACTTTCTTGAAATTCCCCATGCAACTTACAAGCTGTTTTCCCAACACTTATGCTGCAAACTCCCAGGTAACACAGAATTGCTGTGGCATTTTCAGTAGGAAAAGGTGGGCAGGAACAAACTCTTCCAGAGAGTTCTCCTTGCTGCAGCACAGAGGGCTCGGCCAGGCCCGCGGTCAGCTCAGCCCCGGGAGCTTTGCTGTTGGCATCGAATTGTTCCTCTGGTTCCCTGGGGAAGCTCTGGGAGGAAATGTCCAGCAGGCACAGCCTGTGGTACTAAAGCTCTTAAAAATCCCATCACAGAGCCAAATTTCACCCCAGGATAGGTTGACTTTAGTAATGTTGTCTTCAAAAAAACTGCACCAGTTTAGACCAGGCAACAGCCTGCCACCAGAGGTTTAAAAATCAACCTGTTTTTCAGGTCCGTTGAATTATAAATGCATGTGGTAAAAACCTCTTAGACTTGATGCTTTGTTAGTCAACTGATTTGTTATGAAGAAGTTGTCCCAAAAACAGAGCCTTCCTTCTGTTCTTGGGTGATTTTCCCTAGTTTCTGGGATTACATTTATTAAGTATTCACCACTATGGTTTGGTCAAGTAGTTTGAAACCTACGACCTGTCTGATATGAAATTATCCTGCCGAATAGCTGCACCAGTTAGCATTCGTCTCTAACCCCAGACTAGATGGAGTTAACTTTTTAAAACAACAGGCTGATGAATAACAAAGTTATTTTCAATAATGAATAATAATTGCATTTCCTCCTGTAAAAAAAAGATTTGTCATCAGAGAGCCATTCCCAGTGCTTAAACCAGACGTTTATACCTGCATGTCTAACTGGTGCTACACCTAACTGCTTTCCCCATTTCCCCATAGGCTTTTCCCTATAGGTCTCAGCATTGTTTAAGTTCCATTTTGCCTTGTCCTAAAGGTGGAAACCCAACATACACACCGCACAAGACCATTTAAGCCTTAGAGCTGTGCCAAAATATAATAGGCCAGAAAGTTTGATAGCCCCCCAAATCTGTTTTGTATTTGAACTGCCCTTTTACTGTAAAAGCCCAAGTGCCTGTCCTCCAGTAGAGCCTTGTTTTCCCCACTCCCATTTTAAATGGTCATCATTAAATTAATTGAGATGTCACCAATATAAAGCTAAAACTCCTTTCAGCTTACTTGCCTTCCACTCCTTTCCTCTGGCCACTTTTGCAGTTTCATATGTACATATATCAAAAATGCATTTTCTCTCTTTTCTTGCTACCCAAGACTCGCACAGAATCAGGAGAGCTTTTAGTCCTCATCAGAGATTCAAATTTCTGTCCTGCTTTCAGTTTAGGGAGACCACATTTTCCAATGAGTAAAGACACTGATGGAAAATTCCCAAGCAGTTCCGATAACCATACATACGGCGTTGACTAATTTACCAGGTAGCAAACCATAAAGGGAGAGACCATTCCCTTCTTCTCCATTCATTCAAGTACAGCAGACTTCAGTGTTGTTTGTACAAGGTCCAGAAAAGGAAAACACAGGCAGAAATATGAGAATAAATTACAGCCTTTAAAAAAAGTCTATAATACAACAGAAGCAAAATCCCTAAGTGTTTGGATGCTAGAAAGAGAGGGTGGCAAGAGGAATGCTACCGTCATCCATTTGCTCTCTGCATCTCTCTTTAGACCTCTCTAGCAGATTTTTTTTTAATTCACGCCACCAGCTCCAGGGCGCAGGTCACGTCTGTCTGTGTCAATCCTGGAGATTCACGCTGTCTGATGCAAAACAGGGCAACGCATTGACTCTGTAACTAAAACATGGAGCAGGTAAAAAGACAACTTTAAGTCTTATTGCCGTTTTCTCAGAAGCAGAGAGGCAAAGCGCTGAAGCAAAGACGACTGGGGACAAGGCAAGTCTTTTTGCCTGCTCCCAGAGGGACGTGCTATGAACCACGGCTAGCCCAAGCGTGGTTACCATACATCTGGCACAGCACTTTAATAATCAGATACGACAAATGAGATATACGATAATAGCTGATATATGAGAATGACGTAATGAGTTAAACTACAGGATAGACAGTTGGGTCCAGGATAGATGTGAATCAGAGGTTCAGCCCAAGTCACTTTTCTCTGGGCCAGCATTACAGGTATGAACAGACAGATAGCAGGAGCCAAGCATGACCCATGGTGCCTTTTGTTACAGCTTTCAGCAAACACGGCACAGAGAAGAACAATTCTCAGCCAGAAAAATTCACCTAGAGCTTTCCTTGGCTTCTCGCTACGACACTAAGGAGATACTTTCCTTAATACCTTATTCCG